TGGGCGGACGCCGCCTGGGGCGCGCGGCAGGTCCGGCGGGCGCTCGGTTAAGCATCTACTCCCGGTGCCGGTTACATGGGCCGATTGGCTGCCGTGTGACGCCCGGCAAGCGAGTGATCACCGGCATGGTGATCCGGCTGCCGGCGGCCAGCCGAAAAGGCTCACGGCGCGCTCGCCCAACAACAGGCATCCGCCGCCAGGGGGCGCCGGGCGACACAAGCGTCGGCACATGGGGCCCGCCCGAGGCTCGGCCGGCTGGCGGGCCCGTCCTGCCGGCCCCCCGAGCAGGCAGCCCGGCGCCGAGGGCGCGGACTCCCCTCCCCGGCCGGGCCCGCTCGGCCCCCCGCCTTTCTCACTCTCTCTCTGTGAGGATGAACTCAAACGGCGGCAGGATGTGGGGGGCCGCTGCCGGGCCCCTGGGCGATGAAGGCCGCCTCGGAGGCCGGGCGGGGCTTGTCCTCCGGCGGCCGGCCGACGGAGGGCCACAAAGGCATGCGCCCGGGCGCCTGGGTGTTCTCCCCCCGGGCGGCGGGCGAACGGCGCGAACGTGAGCCCCTGTTTGTTATTCATGCGGGCGCCCACAGGCGGCAGGCGCGGCTCTGCTGATCGCGCCCTCCCCTCTCCGGGTCCGGTTTGACCGTGCCGGGGCGGATCTCTCCATTGCCCCGGGCAACAGTGGCCGCGCCATGGGCGGGCCCCGCTCGCCGGCCGTGTCGCCGCGGTCGCGCTCGCGCCAGGCCGCCCCCTGGCGTGCCTTCAGGCTGCGCTGGCCGGGTGTTCTCGCTTTGCGCCCGGATGGGCGTCGGTGCGCCGGCGTGTCCGCCCGGGGGAATGGGCCATCTGGGCCGGAGGGGCTCCTCCATTCGTCCCGTTCGCCGGCCGCCGCCGACACGGGCGCCTGTCGGCGCGGTGGGCTGGCTGCCCCTCTGGCGGGCACGGGCCGCGGCGACCCGGCCCTCCCTCGCCTCGCCCCCTGGCCGGGCGTCCTCGCGCGGCCCTCGGCCGAGGCCGGAGCCGAGCGGCGAGGCCCGTGGCCCTGGCACTCGGGCCGCTGGGGGCCTTGATGGCCATTGCCCGGCCCGCCGGCGAATCAAGGGCCGGGACAGCGCGGGCCGGGGCTTTTTTCTTTCGGCCCCAATCACCGATCTCCCTCCTCCATCTCACCTTGTCTTGCCGCCCCATCCGAGCATGATAACACCGCCTCCCGTCCGACCGCCGGCCTGGGGCATGGCCGCGCTCATACTTGCCGGGCTGGTCCTCCTGCTGGGGGGCTGCCATGCGCTGGCCGGCCGGCCGAGCGCCGCCGCCGACCGGCTGCAGCACGCCGCCGCCCTGGGCCGGCCTCCCGGCCCGGGGGACCTCCTGTCGTTGGATCTGCCGGCTGGCCCCGGCTGCACCGTCTATGACCGGATGCTTGAAGAGTGCGTGCGCGCTGTGTGGGGAAGGCCGGCGGGCGAGCAGGGGCTTATGGGTGCACCGGCGACGGGGCCACATTTGTGAACGCGCGGCAGCCGCCATACTGACCAGGGAGAGACTTTCCCCGCGCGCCCGGGGCTCGGCCCCTCGGCCCGGCAGGTGCCTTGTCTGCGAGGCGGGCTTCTTCCTCCAGGCCGGCGGGTGCGCCGCCTGCCCGGGCGGCTGTGTGGCCTGCACCTCGGCCAGCCGGTGCACCGCCTGCGCGGTCGGCCAGTACCTCCACCAGGGGGCCCTGTGCATGGCCAGCTGCCCGGCCGGGACCTTCCCCACCGGGGGCGCCTGCGAAGGCTGCCCGGCCGGCTGCGCGGCGTGCACCTCGGCCGACCAGTGCACGACGTGCTCGCCCGGGCGGGTGCTTCACGCGGGCGCCTGCTTGGGCGCCTGCCCGGCGGGGACGGTCAAGTCCGCGGGCGTGTGCTGGCCATGCTGGGCCGGCTGCACGGCATGCGCCGAGAGCATGCAGTGCACGGCCTGCCTGGAGGGGTACTTCCTGGATGGCAGCATATGCACGCCCACCTGCCGGGCCAGCTCCTCGCCGGTCGGGACGTCCTGCACCCAGTGTCCGCACTACTGCCGGGCGTGCACATCGGCCAGCACCTGCGTCGCCTGCTCGACCGGCTTCTTCCTCCACGGGGGGGCCTGTGTGTCCATCTGCCCGGGGGGGACCTACGGCCGGGAGGGCGCGTGCCAGGCGTGCCCGGCCGGCTGTGCCGGCTGCACCGCGGCCGACCGGTGCACGGCCTGCGCCGGCGGGCGGCTCCTCTCCGAGGGGGCATGCGTGGCCAGCTGCCCGGCCGGGTCGCGGCCCTATGCCGGGGCGTGCCTGCCGTGCGAGGCCTCGTGCGCCGAATGCAACGAGGGCGGCCACTGCACGGCCTGCATGGCCGGCTGGCTGTTGCACGGGATCCGGTGCACGGCCGCCTGCCCGGTGCGCACCTTCCAGTCCGGGGCCGCCTGCCTGGCCTGCCCGGCATACTGCCGCGAGTGCGCCTCGGCCGGCAGCTGCTCGGTCTGCCTGGCGGGCTACCATCTGTGGGAGGGCCGGTGCTTGGGCAGCTGCCCGGCCGGGACCTTCCCCACCGGGGAGGGCACGTGCCGGGACTGCGCCGCCGGCTGTGCCCGGTGCACGGCGGCCGGCGGGTGCACCGACTGCCCCGGCGGCCAGAGGCTCCTCGGCGGAATGTGCACGGCGGACCCCTGCCCGGCCGGCACCCGGGACCATGCGGCCGTGTGTGAGCCCTGCCCGGCCGGCTGTGCCGCCTGCTCCTCGGCGAGCATGTGCGGCACCTGCGCCGCGGGGTACCTCCTGGAGGGGTGGACCTGCCGGCGGGAGTGCCCCCGGGGGAAGTACCCCTCGGGCGACCGGTGCGTCGCCTGCCCGGTGGAATGCGCGGCCTGCACCTCGGCCGCGGCCTGCACCCAGTGCCAGCCCCGGCGGTATCTGGAGGGCGGGGTGTGTCGGTTTTGCCAAAATGGCTGCGACGGGTGCACCTCCGGGGCCGACTGCGTGAACTGCGCCCCGGGCGAGGTCATCCACGAGGGCGTGTGCCTGGCCGGCTGCCCGGCCGGGACCTATGTCTCCGGGGTGTCCTGCCTGGCGTGCGGGCCCGGCTGCGTGGAGTGCACCTCCGGCGCTGACTGCGTGAACTGCGCCCCGGGCAAGGTCATGCACGAGGGCGCGTGCGTGGCCGGCTGCCCGGCCGGGACCTTCCCCTCGGGCGGGTCCTGCCAGGCGTGCGGGCCCGGCTGCGCGGAGTGCACCTCGGCCGAGCACTGCGTCGCCTGCCCGGCGGGGACGCTCCTGCACCGGGGGGCGTGCGTGTCCGGCTGCCCGGCCGGGACCTTCCTCGAGGGGGCGGCATGCCGGCCGTGCCCGTCGGGCTGCGGCGCATGCGCCTCGGCCGGCCACTGCACATCCTGCGCCGGGGGGCTGCTGCTCCATGGGGGTGCCTGCGTGGAGGCCTGCCCGGGGGGCATGGTCGCCGCGGGGGGGCGCTGCGCCGCCTGCCCGGCGCACTGCGAGGCCTGCCCGGCGGAGGACCAGTGCACGGCCTGCGCCGCCGGGCGGGTGTTCCACAACGGCGTGTGCACGGATGCCTGCCCGGCCGGCAGCTTCCTGGCGCCGGGGAGCGCCTCGTGCCAGGCCTGCGGCCGGGATTGCGCGGCCTGCACCTCGGCCGACCGGTGCACCGGCTGCCGGGGCGAGTGGCTGATCCACCGGGGCACCTGCGTGGCGGCCTGCCCGGCGGGGACCTTCCCCTCGGAGGGGCGCGAGTGCGTGGGCTGCGGGGCCGGGTGCGCGACGTGCGCCTCGGCCGACCGGTGCACCGGCTGCCCGGCCGAGCGCTTCCTCCACGAGGGCGCCTGCCTGGCGGCCTGCCCGGTCGGGACCCATGCCTGGGGGTGGGCCTGCCACGCGTGCCCGAGCGAGTGCACGGCCTGCACCACGGACGCCAGCTGCCAGGCCTGCCGGCCGGGGCTGCTCCTCCACCAGGGGGCCTGCGTGGGGGCCTGCCCGGAGGGGACCTTCCCCTCGGGCGGCCGGTGCGTCGGCTGCTTGAATGGCTGCTCGAGGTGCCTCGCGGCCGGGCACTGTACGGCCTGCCCCGGGCGCCTGGCCCTGCATGGGGGCGCCTGCGTGGAGGAGTGCCCGGCCGGGAGCAGCCTGGCCGGGGGGGCGTGCGTGCCCTGCGCGGCCGGCTGCGCGGCATGCACCGCGCCCGACCGGTGCACCGCCTGCGCCGGCGGCCGGCTGCTGCACGAGGCCCGGTGCCTGGATGCCTGCCCCGGGGGGACCGTGGCCTCGGGGGGCGGGTGCTTGCGCTGTGCGGCCGGCTGCGCGGCGTGCACGGCGCCCGACCGGTGCACCGCCTGCACCGGCGGGCACCTGCTCCTGGGGGACCGCTGCACGCCGGCCTGCCCCGGGGGGACCTTCCTCGAGGGGGCGGCCTGCCGGGCGTGCGGGCCCGGCTGCGCGGCCTGCGCCGCGGCCGGGGGGGCCTGCACGGCCTGCGCCCCGGGGGCGTACCTGCGCGAGGGGGCGTGCTACCCCGGCCCCGGGCCGTGCGGCGCCTGCCCGGAGGGCGAGCTGGCCTGGGAGGGCGCCTGCCACCGGGACTGCCCGGCCGGGGCATACCCCTACGGCGGGTCCTGCTGGGCATGCGCCCCGGGCTGCGCCGCCTGCCGGTCGGCCAACCGGTGCACGGCCTGCGCCGGCGAGCTGGCCCTCCACGCGGGGGCCTGCGTGGCCGGCTGCCCGGCGGGGACCTTCGCCGCCGGGGGGGCGTGCCAGGCCTGCGCGGCCGGCTGTGCCGGCTGCACCGCGGCCGACCGGTGCACCGCCTGCGCCGGCGGGCTGGTCCTGCGCCAGGGGGCCTGCGTGGCCGACTGCCCGGCGGGGGAGTATGCCCTGGCCGGGGTGTGCCGGGCGTGCGCGGCCGGGTGTGCCGGCTGCACCGCGGCCGACCGGTGCACCGCCTGCCCCGAGGGCCGGGTGCTCCATGCCTCGGGCCAGTGCCAGGAGGCCTGCCCGCCGGGGGAGTATGCCCTGGCCGGGGTGTGCCGGCCGTGCGCGGCCGGGTGCCTGGCGTGCGTGGCGGCCGGCGGCTGCACCGCCTGCGCCGGGGGCCTGGTGCTGCACGAGGGCCACTGCGCCGGGGCCTGCCCGGTGGGCAGCTTCCTCGGGCCGGGGGCCGTCTGCACCCGGTGCCTGGACTCGTGCGCGTCGTGCCTGACCCTCGGCCAGTGCACCGCCTGCGCGCGGGGCTTCTTCCTGCACGAGGGCCTCTGCCTGGGCAGCTGCCCGGTCGGGACCTTCGCCAGGGCCGGGGCCGCGGAGTGCGCCGCCTGCGCGGCCGGCTGCCAGCAGTGCACCTCGGCCATCGACTGCGGCCGGTGCGCGGCCGGGTGGGTCCTGCACCGGGGCGTGTGCGTGGCCGGCTGCCCGGCCGGCACTTTCAACCCGGGCAGCGCGCAGTGCGTGGCCTGCCCGGCCGGCTGCGCCGCCTGCGCCCCGGGGGCCGGGTGCACCGCCTGCCAGGAGGGGCTGCTCCGGCACGAGGGCGCCTGTGTGGCGGCCTGCCCGGGCGGCATGTTCCCGGCGGCCGGCGCCTGTGACGCCTGTCCGGCGGACTGCGCGGCCTGCACCTCGGCCGCGGCCTGCACCCGGTGCCAGCCCCGGCGGTATCTGGAGGGCGGGGTGTGTCGGTTTTGTCAAAATGGCTGCGACGGGTGCACCTCCGGCGCTGACTGCGTGAACTGCGCCCCGGGCAAGGTCATGCACGAGGGCGCGTGCCTGGCCGACTGCCCGGCCGGGACCTTCCCCTCGGGCGGGGCCTGCCAGGCGTGCGGGCCCGGCTGCGCGGAGTGCATCTCGGCCGAGCACTGCGTCGCCTGCCCGGCGGGGACGCTCCTGCACCGGGGGGCGTGCGTGTCCGGCTGCCCGGCCGGGAGCTTCCCCTCGGGCGGGGCCTGCGAAGGGTGCCCGCCCGGCTGCAGCACCTGCTCCTCGGCCGGCCGCTGCACGTCCTGCCCGGCGGGGGCGATTCTCCACGCCGGCGGGTGCTTCGCCGACTGCCCGGCCGGGACCTTCGCCGCCGGGCACTCCTGCATGGACTGCGACCGGGGGTGCGACACGTGCACCTCGCGCGACCGGTGCACCAGCTGCCTGGCGGGCCTGCACCTGGCGGCCGAGGTGTGCGTGGCCGGCTGCCCGGCCGGGACCCTTCCCACGGGGGAGGGCGCGTGCCGGGCCTGCGCGGACGGGTGCGCCCGGTGCGCCTCGGCCGGCGAGTGCGCCGACTGTGCCTTCGGGCTGCTGCTGCACGGGGGGCAGTGCGTGCGAAGCTGCCCGGCGGGGACCTTCGCCGCCGGGGTGGCCTGCCAGGCGTGCGGGCCCGGCTGCGCGGCCTGCGCCTCGGCCGACCGGTGCACCGCCTGCCGCGAGGGCAGCTACCTGGCGGCCGGCCGGTGCGACCGGTGCCCCGGCGGGTGTGCCCGGTGCGACGGGCCGCTGGCGTGCGCCGCCTGCCAGCCGGGGTACTTCCGGTCGGCCGAGTCCGGGGCCGGGATGCCCTGCGTGGCCAGCTGCCCGGCCGGCGAGGTGGCCATGCCGGAGTCGATGGCCTGCCAGGCATGCCGGCCGGAGTGCCTCCTGTGCGCCGGCCGGCCGGAGGAGTGCCTCCTGTGCGCCGAGGGGTATGGCTGGGGCGCGGGCGGCCGGTGCCTGGCCTGCCCGGCCGGCTGTGCCACGTGCGTGCACTCGGCGGCCGGGCAGCCGGCCCGGTGCCTGAGCTGCCGGGCGGGCTTCTGGCTGGGCCCGGCCGGGGCCTGCGAGGCGTCCTGCCCGGTGGGGTGGTTTGCCGATGCGGACGCCGGCCCCGGCCCGGGGGCCGGGCCCGGCGGCCAGTGCCAGCCCTGCGCCATCGGGTGCACCGGGTGCACCGGGCCCGAGCCGGACCGGTGCACGGCCTGCGCGCATGGGCTGGACCTGCGCCCGGAGCCCGGGGCCGGGGCCACTTGCCAGTCGGACTGCCCGGCCGGGCGGTACCGGTCCGGGCCCGGGGCCTGTGACCCCTGCCACGGGGCATGCTCCGCCTGCAATGGGCCCACGGATGGCGACTGCTGGCTGTGCGCCGGGGCCCTGGTGCAGGATGGCCAGTGCGTGCAGCACTGCGCCCCGGGGCATGTGCCGGTCGGGGGCCGGTGCCTGGCGTGCCACCCCTCGTGCGGCATGTGCACCGGCACGCGCAGCACCGAGTGCGCCACCTGCGCCGGGGGGCTGCTGGCCATGCCGGCGGCCGGGGACGCGGGCCCGGGCCGGTGCGTGGCCGGGTGCCCGGCCGGCTTCCGGCCGACGGCCGACGGGCAGGCATGCGCCCCCTGCGGCGACCGGTGCCTCCGGTGCCCGGACGCCGGCGGCCTGGCCCAGTGCCAGGTGTGCGAGCGCGGGTGGGTCCTGGCGCCGGGGTCGCCGGCCGGCGGCGGCGGCGGCGGCGGCGGCGGCCCGGCCCAGTGCCTGGAGTCCTGCCGGCCGGGCGAGGCCCCGGTCGGGGCGTCGTGCGCCGCGTGCGACGAGGCGTGCGCCACGTGCGAGGCCCCGGGCCGCGGCTGGTGCCTCACCTGCCCGGCCGGCATCCGGCTCCATGAGGGGGCCTGCGTGGAGCGGTGCCCGGCCGGGACCTTCGCCGACCGGGCCAGCCGGTGCCAGCCCTGCCACCGGGAGTGCGGGCCGGCGTGCGGCGGCCCCGGGCCCGAGGACTGCCTGGCCTGCCCGGCCGGCCGGGTGCTCCACCGGGGGGCCTGCCTGGCCGAGTGCCCGGCCGGGTTTTACGCGCGGGCGGGCGGCTGTGCGGCCTGCCACGCCGAGTGCCGGGGCTGCATTGGGCCCGGCCCGGGGGCGTGCACCGCCTGCGCCGAGGCCCGGCTGCTGCTGCCGGACCCGGGGCCCACCGGGGCCGGGGGCTGTGTGGACGCCTGCCCGGCCGGGCACTTTGCCTGTGCCGGGGCCGGGCAGTGTGGCCGGTGTCCGGCCGGGTGCCTGGCATGCCGGGCCGGGCCGGCGGCCGACGCGCCCGGGCCCTGTCGGCCGGGTGACTGCACGGCCTGCGGCCCGGGGCTGGTGCTTGCCCGGGCCCCGGCCCGGTGCCTGGACGCCTGCCCGGCCGGGGAGTTCCTGCCGGCGGAGGAGCCGAGCCCCGGGCCGGGGGAGGGCCCCCGGTGCGCGGCCTGCGCGCCGGAGTGCGGCACCTGCCGGCACGCGGCCGACCGGTGCACCTCCTGCCCCGGCGAGGGGGGCCTGGCCTGGCTGGACGCGGCCACCGGCCGGTGTGCCGCGGCCTGCGACGCCCCGGGCCAGGTGCCGTACGAGTGGCCCCCGGCCGAGGGGGACGCCTGGCCGGGCCCGGTGGCTCGAGTGTGTCTGTCCTGCGGGCCCGGGTGCGAGGTGTGCCGGGTGGCGGACGCTCGGCCGCCGGGCGGCGCGTGCTGGCTCCTGCCCGGCGGCGGGGTGTCCTGCCCGGTGGAGCCGGAGTGCCGGCGCTGCCGGGGGGGCTTGCTTCTGGGCCCGAGCCCGGGCGGGCCGGCCTGCATGGAGGCCTGCCCGGCCGGGCACTTCGCCGACTGGGCCGGCGCCCCGGCCGGCTGTGTGGCCTGCGAGCCCGGGTGCGCGGCATGCACGGGCCCCGGGCCGGAGGGGTGCGCCGGGCCGGGCCCGGGGCCCGAGCGCCCGGCCGGCCGGTCCGTCGGGCTGGCCCTCGGGCTGGGCCTCGGCGGGGGGCTGGCCCTGCTGCTGCTGGTCCTGGCCGGGGGGCTGGTCCTGCTGGCCGGGCGCCGGCGCCGTGCCCGGGCCGCCGGCAAGCCGGCCGACCGGCTGGGCCTCGGTGCTGCCGAGGCCGAGGCCACCATCCTCAACACCATCATGGAGCTGTCGCTGCCGGGCAGCGCCCTGGTCTGCCTGGACCGGGAGTTCCACCTGCTGCCGGGGGAGCCCCTCGGGGCCGGGACCCAGGCGACGGTGGTGGCCGGCCGGCCGGCCGACGCCGGCACCCGCCAGCGGCTGGGCTGCCCGACCACGGTGGCCGTCAAGCGCCTGTCGCTGGACACCGGCCCCGGCGACCTGGGCATGGCCCTCTTCCAGAATGAAATCTCCCTCATGTGGCTGCTCCGGGGGGCGCCGCATGTGGTGCGCATCTTCGGCTACAGCGAGCCCCCGGCCCCGGCCATCATCATGGACCGGTTCCAGGCCGACTTGCAGGGGCTCCTGGACTCGGACATGCCCCTGGGCCCGGCCGACATGCTGGGCATCTGCCTGCAGTGGGGTACGCATGGCCGGCGGCCGAGGGCGCGCGCGATGCACGCTTCGGCCGCCGCCGCCGCCGCCGCCGACGGGAATCCGCCTTTCTGACACACCCTGCTCATGGCCCGGACGCGCGCGCCGGCCAGCCACCGGCCTGGAGGCCATGCATGGGCATGATGTGGCCCACTGCGACCTGAAGCCGGGCAACGTGCTGGTGCGCCAGCCCGAGTCCGGCAAGTGGTACGCGGCCCTGGGGGACTTGGGCACGGCCAGGAGCCTGTCCACGGCCCGGGTGTCGGCCATGCTGACCAGCCCGCCGGAGGTCAACGTCATGACGGCTCCCTATGCGTCGCCGGAGGTGTGTGATCCTGCCTTTGCGTCGCTTGTGTGTTGGTGTGTTGGTGTGTTGGTGTGTGTGTGTGCGTGTGTGCGTGTGCGTGTGTGCGTGTGTG